TCAATTTACTATCAAATATGCAGGAGATCGCACAATGAAAAGGTTCAAGTGTTCACCCCATCAGATGCAGTTATAATGGAATGTAAATCTGGTATCGAGTCTGCACTTTCAATTTTAACGATAACATGTATATCTGCATTGCAACTTGCCAAGAATGAAAAAAATGCGTCATAATGGAGAGCTTGAAGCACATTAAAATTTTGTAGTTAAATTCCAAAATTTTTTTCCCTTTTTGAATAATGATGAAGATCCACACTCACTCTGCAGATAATTCTTCGACTCGTGCCACCTCCGCATCTTTAAAAAAAGAAACAGCATAGAAATCAACTTTATTGTCCACTCCAAATTTGATATCATCCCAGTCATTCTCTTAAAGGAACAAGATCAAACAATTATGTTCACTGTTTTATAATCATTCCTCTCCTACATCCTCCAACTCGGTACACCTAATAAAAGAAGAGTGAGTAAGCAGAAAATTTTTGAAGCATTGTAGATATCTCTAACCAACCTGTGAGAGAAGGCAGGGTGACACTTTTCCCTCTAAGATTTAAATGTTGCCTAGACTTGAGCTCGCCACCATCAACTACTTCCCACTAGACTGAATCTTCTGTCTTGGACTTCACCACCAATGACATCATAGCCCCTGTATTGATGAGAATGGAAATGTAAAACGAATATATAAGATTGGAATCTTTCAAAATCTCATACATTTTTTTTTCTAGTGTCTACAAAAAAAAAAAAAACTTTGGGGCAGAAACAAGGAAAATGACGAATTTTTTGGTGAAAAGTTACCAGAAGAGAATTTGGAAGAAGTTCCAAATGATTCCGACGATGAAACTCTAAGCTCAGTTTTCAAGTAAGATGCTGGAACTTGTTGCCTAAATGAGTGCTGAGTTTAAAACTCTTCTGACTCTTATTGATCCTTGTCTTTGTTTCGAGAAAACATTCTGCTCTTCAAATAAGGCACATGCATTCAGAACCAGAAAGGAATTGCTTTAACCAAATAAATGTGGTTATGGTACTTTTTTTTCCATACACAAAATTGTTTGAACAAATGGAAATTATATGCCAATTTCTGCATCCTTGTTCTTGTGCTTCATCTTTGTTCATTACTTACTAAGAAACATCAAAATTTTCTAGTGAATTTTGAGACAAATATAATTTTGGATGTTTCATGGTTATTTCCTTTTTAACCATAGGAAAACTAAGATGCTCCCTCCAAAGTCAAAGAATAAGAGGCTCACAACAATATCTACCAAGGGGATGATTGATGGAAACTCTGGATTTTAAGTTTCAAATTATGAGACAGAAAGGTATTGATATTGGCCTCAATGTCTCCTTGCTAAACAGCTTCTGCTTCTATCTTTAGTTTCAAGGTACTCATATGCGGTAAACTCTGGATGTTTACCATCATGGCAGGGAACACACCACAGAAGTCCAAGCTACACAGGCAGTACCAGTGGAAACTTGTTAGGTGTTTCACATGTCAATCTTCTTGGTGATCTGGCATATCAGCAAGCAGATGATGAGTTGGCAGATTCAGGGGATGCCAGGGAAACTGACGCATCGTTGAAAAGTTCCATAAACAGAAGGGAGGTCCGGATGGTAGTTGATCTAGAGGAGGATGACTAGATTGAAAGCAGGGTCAGGTCTCTCTCTCTCTACCTTAGTTACTTCACATTTTTGTTGCTATTTGTAATTTTTCTTGTACCAGTCCAAGGATTCAGATATGTCAATGGAAATATCATGATGTCATGCAACTCAAGATTGCAATTTGCAAAATTCTCTTTCCTGGATGAAAATTTTGAATAATAATTGGCTTCTACTGATTTAAGGGTTCTGTTTAACCACATCCTTTTACTTTATTTTCTTCTTCTCTCAGATTTCTGCTTACTTAACTGATTATTGTTTTACCTATGTTTCCAGTGGGACCTGCCTAATTTCTGCCTGTTCATGCCTTTTGCTGGGAACAATTGTCCTTTCCATGTTCAAAAAGATCAACCTGGGATATGATCATATTCATGCCTGAATGCAGGTTATGTTCGGAGCTTGGACTGGATACATCTGGTGGACTGCTCTGCTCTACTAGCATTTGTTTTTTACGGGCAGGACTAGAGGAGCTTGTATGTGTAGCTTTTTTCCAAAACAAAATTTATGTTTTTGTACATAGACTGAATCTGGCCCTTAATCAGTTCTTGTTTTTTTTCATGGTTCTGCAATTCTGAAACTAGGTAACCTTATTTGTTCTCCCACCCAGGAAAAACCCTAATGAGCCTAAACGAAGGACAAAGGCCTAGAAAATTTTGCTTGCTTTTCGAGACCCCACTATAAGCTCTATCCATAGAGGTTTTGATAGACATTTGTTTTTTCATCGGGATTAAGAGTTGGGAATTCCTAGGTAAAGGTAGTTAAATTGCCATTTTAATTACTTAGCTAGTCACAAATTCACTTATTTTTTAATATTCAATATTACATGAAAATTTAAGTGATTTATTTTGTTAATTTTTTTGTTTGTGTGACATCAATATATATACATTTGTAAATTTTAATATTTTAATAAATGAATTAAATTAAATATAGTAGGGTTACTCAATTTTAATTATTTTAACTTAATCTTGAGGATTTTTCTAATTTTGTAGTAAAAAAAAGTACAAAATTATAATTTAAATTTTAAATTAAATAATAAGAAAGAAGGAGAGATAATACCTAATATCTTATAAATAAAATAAATAAATTTAAATTAATAATAAGATAATAGTGAGAACAAATTTACCATTAAAAAAAAAGAAAAAAAATTAAATTTAAATTTGGACTTAGATTACTAGCAATAATCTCCCAAAAGGAGATAATATTTACATAAAAAATTAATGAATAAAAGTGGGGTCAATCTTTGGGCTTTGCTTCATGGGCCTATAAATTCCCTAAATCAAACAAACTCTTCTCCTTTGTGCATGAAAAAATCGGAGAGGTTATCTTATTTTTCTGATATAATTGTGGATTTCTTTTCTCAATCATATATTTGCATCAATTTAAATGATAACGATACACATCGTTGTGGTTCCATTTTGGATGTACTGATCATGACATGAACTGAATTTGCTAGTTCTCATTTTAAAAATCAAAGATGTGTTTTTTTGGCATGAACAGACAAAAAAAGGTATAATAATATTTTGAAAAATAATTCATTGACAATGCTTTTTATGACAATGAAATTTTAGAATTACTGTAACATTTTCATTGTCAAACAATCTAAGAATTTTATAATACCTCCTCTACCATTAATTTATGAATGATATTTTAGCAATTGAAAATTTGGATTTACTTTTTTAAAAATGTTAACTGTTAAATCTCAAACCTATATACTAAAATTGTATTGGGGGGTATCAACAAGTTCTTGTTGGTATTTGTGATCACTGTTCTTTCCAATCCTGCACAACATCCATTGTTGTGTGACGAACAAAATTTCAAAAATATATTTGTGAAAAAAATATATATTTCTGTGTAAAAGGTGATGGTGCAAAGTTCCAGCTTTGCGTAAGGATTTATGATCAAGGCAAAGTTTCTATTTTTCTATAGAAAAAGTGACAGTTTGAATATTTATCTAAATCTTTTCTCTCGAAGTTCAGCTCGGCTCTATAGTGTGTTCTATGGTCAATATCTGAACCTTTTCTTTTACAATTTATAGTTTTGAATAATTGAATGAACTAGGGGGAATTGAAGAAAAAGTGAACCTATCACTGGGCCAGGGAGGCCTGATGTTCTAATGCTTTGAAGTTAAATCATAGATCATGCCTGAAAAGGACTTTATATTGTATAGATATATCTGATATTACATAACTTTCTCATCTCTGTTATATGGCCTATACATGAGCTTTTGGATATCACTAGAAGGTTTCATCAATTCTATTAACATGCTTAAGGGTTCTGCTTAAACGTATTCTTTTTCTTTAGTTTCTATTGTTTTACCTATGTTGCTGGTGGGAGCTGCCAAGATGCTTAACTTCTGCCTGTTCATGCCTTTTTGCTGGGAACAAATGTCTGTTCTATGTTCAAAAGCTCAACCTGGAATACAATAATTTTCATGCCCAATGTGGGTATTTCTTGGGGTATGGATTGGGTACGTCTGGTGAATTGCTCTGCTCTACTAGCACTTTTTTCTTGCTAGCAAGACTATACAATTTTGTACTGTAGTTTTTTAAAACAAAATTTGTGTTTTTACACAAGTGATTCTGGTCATTAATCAGCTCTTGTTTTGTTTCATGCTTCCGCGATTGTGCAACAAGGTTGTTCATTGCAGCCATCACAGCAAAGCTACGCATGTCCCAGCAAGCTTTTGAAGTTACAGCACGGTGAATTAAAACCCTGAAACAGTGCTATTTTAGCTTAGTTATCTTTTAAATGTAATTTAGGTAACATGCTGTTGGTTTCAAAATTCAGTTTGAATTGATATGTTGTCCTTTTTTTGTTATTTATTGATACGTAAGACCATGGGACATGGCAGCACATAAATTCTAATATATAGCCAACTCATACGTACGAGATGTTATCTACTTCATATATCAATATTTCATTGTAAAAAAAGAAAACATTGCTAGAACTGTATTTTTTATTTTGTTCATGGTGAAAAACTCATTTATGACTTTTTTAATAAAAAAATGATATGTAATCCTTCTAAGATGAACTACACAACTTAGGGATTATTCTGACAAGAGCTTAGTTAATTAAGTTGGATTTAAATCTTCTACCAAGTGTCCAAGGTACCAAAAAAAATAATTTAGAGTTAAGGTTTATTTTTAGGATTTGTTTAATTTGTGTCGTTATGTGTATATTAATTACATTTTTTCATTAATTTGTATAACAAATACAAAAACTAACTTTATTGTCAACATCAATTATTCATTCACAATTCTAATTAGATTCTAAATAAAATTAAAATCAATTTTTACTTTTTTTCATAACAATTAATAAAAAAATGTGCAATTAATAACCACCCAACTATGGTTGATTTCAAACACTTGTCTGGGATTATGGATTCTCAATCTCATCCCTCGGCTTCAGATAAGTTAGCTGCAACTTGTGGTGGACAAGGAAAAATGAAAAGAAAGAACTCACATTTGCTTCACAACCTTACTTGGAGTGCCTTCTGTCAAGCAGTATCTGAATGCTTGGACCTAGAGTTGGAAGAGGCTTATTTTGCTAGGGATTGCAATATCTCAAAGAGGTTAAAATTTGTGAAATGCTGGATGTAGCAGCTTAGGAAACATTGTACCAGTAGCCCTAGGATGGCAGAGAGTGCCATACCAAATCAGGATGTTGAAAAAGAAATAAATCACAGGCTAAATGAGTTGCCTCAAGAAAGTGAACGGCCAGTCTTGCCTCAAGAAAGTGAACAGCCCGTCTCTAATTCTGCCTCAGTGGGAGAGGTTTCTTGCAGAATATCAGATGAAGCTGCTAATGATTTCTGTTCAGGAACTAATGAGAATTTCTTCAGTTAGTCTTCCGAACAAAATTCAACAAGGACTTGAATCTAAAGAATTAGACTTGGGGACCATTGCAGAACGACTTGTAAATTCATCTATCTATTGGTTATGCCAAAA